GAGTTTTATGAGTTGCCTATATATTTTGGATTTAACTCTTTAAAACATACATGCTTTGCAAATATTTTCTCCCATTTTTATAGATAGGCTTTCCATTTTATTGACTTTTTTTATTTTTATTTTTTATTTTTTTGCTGTGTAAAAACATTTTAGTTTGATGTAGCCTCACTTGTTTTTGTGTTTTTGTTTGTTTTGCTTTGCTTTTGCTTTTTTGTGTTATTTTTGCCTGTGATTTTGGTGTTATATTCAAAATAATCACTACCAAGACCCATGTCAAGGAGATTTTTCTCCTATGTTTTCTTTCAGGATTTTTTTTTCAGGCATTATCTTTAAGTCTTTTATCCATGTTGAGTTAATATTTGTGTATGGTTTAAGATAAGGGCACGCTTTCATTTGTCTGCATCTGGATATTCAGTTTCTCCAACACCATTTATTAGACTATCTTTTCCTCATTGTGTATTCTTGTCACCCTTGCCAAAAATTAGTTGGCTGTACATGTGTGGATTTATTTCTAGACTCGATATTCTGTTGCATTGGCTTAATGTGTCTGTTTTTATGGCAATACCATAGGGTTTTGATTACTATAGCTTTGTAATATACTTTGAAATCAGGATGTGTAATGCCTCTAGTTTGTTTGTATTCCTTAAGATTGTGTCTTTTGTCATTCCATACGTGTTAGGATTGTTTTCTCTATTTCTGTAAAAATTGTCATTGGAATTTTGATAGAATTTTCATTGAACCTATAGATTGTTCTGTGCAGTGTGGACATTTGTACAATATTAATTATTCCAAACCCTGTATAGAACTTTCAGTCCTATGTTGAATAAAAGTGTTGAGAGTGGGAACCATTGCCTTTTTCAGATCTTAGAGGCATAGCTTTCAATTTTTCAAAATTGATGATAATGTTACTGTGGGCTTTTCATGTATAGTCTTTATTATGTTGAGGTGCACTCCCTAATTTGTTGAGAATTTTTCATGACAGTGTGTTGAATTTTGTCAAATGTTTTTTCTGTATCTACTGAGATGATCATATGTGTTTTGTCCTTTATTCTCTTAATTTGATATCACATTTATAGTTTTGCATATGTTGACACATTCTTGTATTCCAGGGACAAATTCCACTTGATCATAGTGAATGATCCCTTTAATAAGCTGTTGAATTTAGTTTGCCAATATTTTGTTGAGGATTTTTGCATCTGTGTTCATCAGGGCTATTGGCCTGTAGTTGTCTTTTCTTATAGAGTTCTTGTCTGGCTTATTGCCCTCATAAAAGGAGTGTGGAATTGTTCTTTTCCTCTTCCTCTATTTTTTTTTTGGAAGAGTTTGAAAAAATATTGGTGTTAATTCTTCTTTAAATATTTGATAGAATTCACCTGCAAAGTCATCTGATCTTGGGCTTTTCTTTGTTAAGAGGTTTTTGATTACTATTTCAGTCTCCTTACTCATTATTGGTTTGTTCAGATTTTCTGTCTTCGTGAGTCAGCCTTGTATATGCATAGGTTTATATCTAGTCAGGTTGTATATTTCTAGAATTTTGTACATTTTCTTCTAGGTTATCTGATTTATTGGCATACAGTCATTCAGAGTAGTCTCTTACCATCCTTTCATTGTATTTCTGTGGTATCAGTTGTAATGACTCCACTTTTATTTATAATTTTATAAAAAAAATATCCTTGTGATATCAGTGATAAAATTACATCCCTGGGATATCATTGATTTTTAGCTTTATTGTATACATGGAGAAATAGCAATGACTCCTTTCTCTTTTTCTCGTGGTTAGCCTAGGTAAAACTTGATTACTTTTTTTCGATTTTTCAAAGGAAACCTCCATTTCATTGATCTTTTCTATTGTCCATCTAGTCTTTCTTTATTTTTGTGTAATTGTTGTTATTTGCTTCCTTCTGCTAACTTTGGGCTCAGTTTTGTTCTTATTTTTCTAGTTCCTTGAGGTATAAAGTTAGATTGTTTATTTGAGATTCTTTTTCTAAATGTAGGCATTTACCATATGAACTTCTGTCTTTGAACTGCTTGTGCTGCATCCCACAGGTGTTAGTATGCTGTGTGAGATTTCATTTTCATTTTCTCCATATATCTTAAAATGTCCCTTTTGTTTTCTTTCTTTGTCTGTTGTTTGCTCAAGAGCATGCTAATTTCCACATACTTGTAAATTTCTCAGTTTTTCTCCTGTTACTGATGCCTAGTTTTTTTATCATTGTGGTCAGGAAGGTTACTTGATATTACTTCAATCTTATTTTATTTTATTTATTTTTTTGAGACAGAGTCTCACTCTGTCACAAGGCTGGGGTGCAGTGGTGCGATCTTGGCTCACTGCAACCTCCGCCCCCCCCCCGGGTTCAAGTGATTCTCCTGTCTCAACCTCCTGAGTAGCTGGGACTACAGGCGTGCGCCACCACACCCAGCTAATTTTTGTATTTTTAGTAGAGATGAGGTTTCACCATGTTGACCAGGATTGTCTCGATCTCTTGATCTCGTGATCTGCCCACCTCAGCCTCCCAAAGTGCTGGGATTATAGGCGTGAGCCACCACACCTGGCCTATTTATTTATTTCTTGAGACAGAGTCTTACTCTGTAACCCAGGCTGGAGTGCAGCGGTGAGATCTCGGCTCTCTGCAACCTCCACCTCCCAGGTACAAGTGATTCTCCTGCCTCAGCCTCCAAAGTAGCTGGGATTACAGGGGCCCGTCACCTGGCTAATTTTTTTGTATTGTTAGTAGAGATGGAGTTTCACCACATTGGCCAGGCTGGTCTCAAACTCCTGACCTCAGGTGATTCACCCACCTTGGCCTCCCAAAGTGTTGGGGTTACAAGCGTGAGCCACCGTGCCTAGCTTATCTTAAATTTGTAAAGCCTTGCTTTGTGGCCTAATTTTTTTCTTTATTATATTTTAGTTCCTTATTTAATATTTTATATTGGTCACATCAGTGTCTCCAATTGGTTCTTCTTTATATGGCTTGTATGTCTGCTAAAAAGTCTATCCCTTATCTGTGAAAATATATTATTGTGCTTGGTGTAAGTTCAAACTTCGTGTGGTCCACTGTTAGTTTTTTTCTGACGGGTTGTTCATTCTGTCATTTTCTGTCATGGATCTCAAGTTCCCACATGCTTTGTTATATCTTCCTGTTGTTTCTTATTCCCTTGGGATATCAGTGATATATATTTTTTTTTTTTAGCTTTATTGTGTACATAGACAAATGGCAAAAGCCATGGTCTGCACTATGCCTGGCAACTTAAGTTTAGAGAGTCTTTCGGACAAGACATCAGGGCCAAAAATCTCTGGTGCTCCCACATGGTCTCAACTTCATTCCCATCAGATGAACTTGTTTATTAGGGAACAGTATTGCCTGCACTCTAGGCTCTCCTATTTTCCAAGTGCTCCTTTTATGACAGCATTTTTAGGCCTCTGGGGTTGGGCGAAGGGAAGGAAGGATCACTTACAAGCAGTCTGCCTTGTTCTCCCTCAGTCAGACAGCACTAGCTTATGCTGTCAATTTTTTTTTCAGTTGGCATTGGTGTTTTCCTGCCAGGCAGGACCCAGGAAAGCAGGGATACTCCAAACCTGCATTGAAGGAAAGAGATGAGCATATCAGAAACCTCTTCTGCAGCCTATTCTCTCATTTGGCTCTTGGCCTTGCTCCACCTTGTGTCCCCATTTTCTTCCTTGAAGAAGATGCTATCAACTTCGTACTCCTCAAAGATCTGTCAGAGTTGTGACTTATGTTCTGGGTTCCATCAATCTCTTTTTAGGTTCTGTGGTATATCCAAGGTTCGATTCATCAGCAGTTTAAATGAAACCATGATCTTTTTTCCTTTTTTATTTAGAAATGCAAAAATTATGTTCATGGAATATATAGATAATATTTGGTAATGTGCCATATTCACTTCCTAGTAACGTGCACATACATTAATGTAGACTAGAATGCTAGAGTTGAAGTGACAGCTTATTTGTTTCTATATGAGATCCAGACTTGTATCTAAAGTTGAGTAATTGTGTGATATCAGTCAGTTGTTTTATTTTTCTCCTTATTTTTAACATTCTATTTTATAATTTAGAATCTATTCAGCTAAAACTTCAAAGCTATATTGAATGGTTGGCGGTAAATTATGGATAGTAGCTCAGTGATTGTGCCTGGTAGCAGAGCAGACATCCTGACATGCTAAAAATAACTAATACTTGTTTAGCATTTTACAAAGCATTATCTTAAGTGACTGATAAAACTGTAAAACAAGCCTTATTATAATTCTCATTTTATGGATGAGGAAACCAGAGCTGAGGAAGGCTCTTTGACGTTTTCAAAATCATTCAGCCAAGAAAGTCAGGTAAATGGTACAAAGAAAATCACAAAGCCCGAGATGTCTCAAATGCAAGGATAAGCAGGCACAAATACCAAGAATGCTAGTAGTAAGCCAAACCAGCAAAATCAAGCAAATGCAAGGAATAGGTGTCTACTTACGGATGCAAAACAAGAGACTGATGAGGGACATGTATGTTCTTTTAATCTGAAAGAACTATAATGGTCTCACTACCAGAATTTAGCCCCAGTTACACATCTGTAAAATGGAACAAAAAGAACTAGAAAATTTAAGAGAACAAATTCTCAGTTTAAACTTATCTCAGTGGGGAAGAGGATGATGGGGTGGGATTGGTACTCAAGTGCTTTTTTCACAAACTTCCAGAGAGGAAAATGTTTTGGTTACTACATATATTCTTAAAATATGTCAAAAATAATGATCATCTCCTTCTGTACATAACTCTCCCATCTCTGTTTTCCTGTTTCTCTTTTTGACTATTTGCTTCTTTGTATTTCTTCTCTTCTTCTTCTTCCCCACTTCTGTAGCTCAGCAATTTCTGTGTATAGATGTATAGATTTCTATATGTAGATTATCTGACATCATTCTATATAATGATGTACACAGATGTATATCTCCTATTTGCCTCTGTCTTGCATCTCATTTTTCTTTTCTGTCTCCCTCCACTCCAGCATCTGGATCATAACAAGTATGCAACGATACATGAGGACCCTCCAACTTGCAACATTTTGTCTACCATATGCTTAAAAGAAGGGAAGCTTCATAGAGTTTGGGTATTTGAGTTAAGTTGAAAATTTTGCCTTTTTCTTTCTAAGATTAATATATTTTATCACTTTAAAAGATTATTATCTATGAGATTCTGATGTAAGTAATCAAAGTGGACATCTGCGTCTCCTTTCTCAGAGTTTAAGAAAAAATGATATATATGAGTTGTTCTGGGTCTTATAAACATCTTACACATGGTTCAACATGGTCCTTCTATACTTAGCTTAACTAAATCTTTTGAAATTCATTTTCTTTTAAATCAAAACCAGGTATTAAAGTGATCATTTTTAAACATCTATTAAAATAATCATATTTTCAAAAATTTAATCTTGAGCATAATGACTCATGGTAAGCTATCATTTTATCCTTAAGATAAAGCCTACCTAATACTATTTATAAATATCATATTTAAAAGTGTTGCACTGTATTTGTAAATTAGATTACTCTATGGATTTTTCTTTACGTGCACTACTTGTTTAGGTTTGATTTCAGATTTGCTGTAGCCTTGAGGAATAAGTTAAGCAATTTTTTTTTCTTTCATTTTGGTTTCTCTTAATTGTATTTCTAACATAGGTACTATCTCCTTCTTGAAGTTTTGGAAAAAACTCATCTGCAAACTGTCTAGAACTGACATCTATTTTAGAAGTACTTCACTTTTTGATTTTTTTTTTCAAATTCTATAGGTATTAGTTTATTTAGGTATTTTAATTTTCCTTGGACAAATTTTGTTCACGTTTATTGTTTCAATATATTAACTTCATTTAAATTTCAAACTTAATGGCATAAATTTGCTTGTAGCATTTTATTTTTATAACTATTCTCTGTTTATAGTTATTTATTTCTTTCCCTTTCCAATTTTGTGGTTTGTTTGTTTAGTTTGTTCTTCTTCATGTTTCTTGATAGGATTTCCTCAAGGTTTGTATATTGTATAGATCTTATAAAATAACTGTGTTTATATTAACCAAGTCTGTATTTTTGGTATTACATTGTTTCATACTTTTATAATTATGCTATTCCTATTTAAAAATCTATTTTGTTGTTTTATAAGTTCATAAATTGAAATCCAGTTGATAAATTTTTAATATTCATTTTATATTATGTATATTTAAGGCTGTACCTTTTCTCTGAGTGATATTCTGGACTATGCCAGGTTTAAATATGTAGTGATCTCATTGCCATTCATTTTCAAGTACTTTCTAATTTTCATATCATTTCTTCTTGCTTAATCAAGAAGAACATAGTAGCATGTCTGTTTTCACATGTGTAAGATGTGTGTGTGTGTGCGTATGGGGTGGAGTCACATTCTTTGTTGAAAAGTTTCAGTTTATTCCATAATTGTCAGAAACATAGCCTACATAATTTTTGCCTTGAGAAAATTATTGAATGTTACTTTCATGCTCACTATGTAACCTGATGTATCAAATGGTTTAGATTTGTTTGAATACAAACTTATTTCTGTATTTCTTGATACTAACTATGTTTATAATATCTATCTATAACTACATGTTGGTTAATTGCTTTCTAACAATTCCTCTATAATTTGTTTTAAGATACATTTTAGTTTCAGAGATAAGTGAATTTAAAAGATCCCATTATAATGGTGGATTCGTCCATTCCCCTTGTGTAATTTCAAGTTTTTTGTTATTTGTTTTTAATTTAATGTATTGCAACAATATCATATTAGGTCCAGAAAGAACTGTCATTACTATATGTGCTGATAAAGTAAAATTTTGGTAAATTCTAGATAGCATCTAACATCTACTTTGGCTTCCTATGTTACAGACAGTGTTAAAATTCTTTGTATCACTACTAGGTCCATACTATTATTGCTGTTGCTATTATTATTGCCATTTCACAGAAAAGAGACCAGGTGTAAAGAATGAACACATAGTGTTACTTTCAGCTAGCAAGCAAAGAAGCCACCCAGGGAGCTGCCCTGACCTCAAACCTACACAGACAGCTCCAGAGCCATTCTCCTTCAGCGCCATGCTCATCAGTACCATTCATGCTTTGTTTTGTTCCTTGAATTCTATTTTGTCTTTATTTGTACAATGTTGTCTGACCTATATGTTCTCATTCTTTGTTTTAAACCACTTAGTGCCAATTCATTTTACATTTAATGCTTAACACCGTATTGCTAAAATTTTTTTAGAGAATTTGATAGTCTTCAATAAAAGTCATATACATACATTTTAATTATGGATATTTTGACTTAATAATGTTATTTTACTTTCCTACTTTATATATATATATATATATTCCTTCCTTCTTTCCTTCCTTCCTTCCCTCCCTCTCTCCTTCCTTTCTCTCTCTCTCTCTCTCTCTCTCTCTCTCCCCTTCCCTCCCCTCCCCTCCCCTCCCCTCCTCTCCTCTCCCTTTCCCTTCCCTTCCTTTCCCAGATGGAGTCTTATTCTGTCACCCAAGCTGGAGTGCAGTGGTGTGATCTGGACTTACTGCAAGCTCCGCCTCTCAGGTTCATGCCATTCTCCCACCTCAGCCTACCGAGTAGCTAGGACTACAGGCGCCCACCACCATGCCTGGCTAATTTTTGGCATTTTTAGTAGAGACGGGGTTTCACTGTGTTAGCCAGGATGGTCTTGATCTCCTGACCTCATGATCCGTTGTTCTTGGCCTCCCAAAGGGCTGGGATTACAGGCGTGTGCCACTGCACCTGGCCCCTACTTATTATATTTTTATTGATTATTTTAATTTTTTCTTCAGTTTTTTGCAAATTTTCTATTATTCACTTCTAATTTTTTTATGCGTTAATTTTCTTGGAACACATCCACCTTTTCTCCTAAGATTTTATCATGTGCTTTCCCAAAAGTTTAAAGAAAACCAGTTTCATTTCATCTGAAATAATTAAAAAAAAAATTTAGTTTACCCCTACCACAGATAGTAGGGAAATATTGAGCCAAAATATAACTTTAATATTTAAATTATCAATAATTCATATCTAATTTAAAAGATACCTTTTTCACCAAGGTTTCTTGCATATTAAATTTATTTTTTGACTTTGTTCCTGTTCTTCTAGTTAAAAAATTTTAATGATTTGTGCATGCCAAAATTTTTTACTTTTTATTATGAAGTTCACTTATATTTCTGCCCGTGTAACTGTTGGATAATATTTTCACATTAAAAGCTCAAACTTTTACAAACTTATATGTTACTGTATCTCTATGAAAATTTGGAATAAGATTAGAATATTCAATATAATAACCTCATTTAGCTAAATAAAATTTTATGTTTTTCATTTCTTTGATTACTGTTTCTCTTCTACCTGCCTTGTTCTGTCCTGGGATTCCTATTACATGAATGCTAGATTTCTCATGTTAGTCTTCCACATTTCTCATACTAAGATAACTGTTTTGTTATCCTTATTCATTTTTTTAATTCCAAGAAAAATAATACTGAGCTGATCATATAATAGCTACATTTTCAAATTGTTGCTTAATTTTTCCATGGCATATTTATTCCTTCCTTTTACCTTGAAGTAATCCATTTGTTCATTTGTGAATCCTGGCTCTAGGTCATAGATAAATAATTTTAGTGCTATAAAGTGGAGACTTTCTAGATTTTCACTGGCTTCTTTTAAGAAATCTTATTTGTAAGGGAATATTTCTACTTCATTTGCCCAACTGACCTCATCTAACTTGATATTTAATTTTATATATCAAGCAATTTTTGCTTGTTTGCTTTTATTTTATATTTTTTATATATTATGATATATATCATATATACATCACAAATATAGTCATATATATATAGGATTTTGCAATTATGAAAACTTAGCTGACTTTCAGATTGTGTGAGCTTTTGCTCCTTTGATTTACAGATTAGACATGTTCTGAAAAAAATGAGACCCCTTGCTGATGACTGGAAATGCAAACCGGAGAATAGTGAGCAAGGGAGAAGAGAGAGGGAATAAGATCTGCAGCCCTCTACGTAATAATGAGGAGGGGATATTTTGTACCTAGGGAAGTTTTGGCAATATCTAAAGATATTTTGATGCTCAAAACTGGAGGGAAGCCACTGGCACCTAGTAGATAGAAGCCCGGGATGCTACTAAGCCTCCTACAACTCACAGAATAGCTCTCCATGACAATGAATTAGCCAGTCTAAAGTGCAGTAGTGTTGTGCTTGGGAAATTATTGCATATAGATTTATAGAAATGAAATGGAACCCATGCATAAGGAAAGGAAGGGAGCAAAGTAGTCAAAGAAAGGTATGAGACAACCTAGTAAGGCAGGCCAACATTCAAATTCAGGAAATACAGAGAATGCCACAAAGATACTCCCTGAGAAGAGCAACTCCAGGACACATAATTGTCAGATTCACCAAAGTTGAAATGAAGGAAAAAATGTTAAGGGCAGCCAGAGACAAAGGTCAGGTTACACACAAAGGGAAGCCCATCACACTAACAGCAGATCTCTTGGCAGAAACTCTCGAAGCCAGAAGAGAGTGGGGGCCAATATTCAACATCCTTAAAGAAAAGAATTTTAAACCCAGAATTTCATATAGACAAACTAAGTTTCATAAGTGAAGGAGAAATAAAATCCTTTACAGACAAGCAAATGCTTAGAGATTTTGTCACCACCAGGCCTGTCCTACAAGAGATCCTGAAGGAAGCACTAGACATGGAAAGGAAAAACAGGTACCAGCCACTGCAAAAACATGTCAAAATGTAAAGTCCATCAATGCTAGGAAGTAACTGCATCAACTAGCAAGCAAAATAACCAGCTAATATCGCAATGACAGGATCAAGTTCACACATAACAATATTAACCTTAAATGTAAATGGACTAAATGGTCCAATTAAAAGACACAGACTGGCAAATTGCATAAAGAGTCAAGACCCATCAGTTTGCTGTATTCAGGAGACCCATCTCACATGCAGAGACACACATAGGCTCAAAATAAAGGGATGGAGGAAGATCCACCAAGCAAATGGAAAACAAACAAACAAAAAAAGCAGGGGTTGCAATCCTAGTCTCTGATAAAACATACTTTAAACCA